TTTTTCAATATTTTCTATATCTTGTTGCCTTTTACGCAGACACGCCAATGGATTTTCGTTCCCGGCACGCTTCATCCCTCTTACTAGTCCAAGAGCTAGCGATGAATCACTATCTATAATTTTGGCCGTCGAGTATAGGAACCTCTGTCAGCACATACAATTATGAGTCAGTTTGAAAAACCAGTGACGTGCATCTAATAGTTTCAAATACCCCTTTAAAAAATAAGTTATAAGCCATTGTACAAAATTTGAATAAAATTCTTACAATGTTCTATTAATTTACCATACAAATTTTCTATTGCAACTTACTCGTAATAACCATCATGTCTGAGTTAGTCACGAAAATTACGCTAAAATTGTTTAAAATTGTTCAGCAGCCATTTCTTTAATGTTCATATGTGCTTCCATAGTGTTTTGTTTATTAGTGTATACAAATAATTACTTGTATTTTTCAAATTTTTTTATTAAAATGCCTGCGTTTTACAAATTATAAAAATGCTAACATTTGTGGTTTCTGTAAATTCACAATCAATATAACGGATGACTAGTTCTTACATGAATACACAGGCATTTTCTAGATAACGGATTGGGAAAAATAAGTGATAAAGATGGTGGCTGTAATCCTTCCAACAACATAGTTTTAGAATATTATACAACACAAACACAGGTGAACTAAGTATCAGAAGAGCAGCACTACTTATCACAATAAAATTTATAGGATGCATGATAAAATGGGATCATTGTAAGGCATTACATAAGCAAAAAGTTTAAAACTAATGTCTAATTGATCCTCTGAAACAAATTATTTTGTCACAGTAGGTTTTAGACACCATTGACAGATCCAAATTTTTTTAAGCAAATTCTCTACACTTATAAGGCAAAATTTTTGCGATGGGGAATTTTAAATTTTTAACAGTTTGTCTGTAAAGGCATTATGAATATCCGAATGCAGTATGGCCAGTGTAAGTCTAACTGTGTGTAGATAACATTGTGTGTGCACCCCATTTTTTCTTGAGAGCAGAATGAGAATTTTTAATTTTCCAACAAAACGATTTTGCTGGTATTTTAGATGATGTATGTCTAAATATTAGACAAGTATTGTGGCTACAACTTGATGGAGGTCTCTATCTCAGAAGGCAAGTCACGGAAAGGCTTGATATCAGTTACAGAGAAAGATGGATTGGACGATTACCACCCAAGCAAATAATTGTCAGGCAATTTGAGAAACCCATCTCCCCCCAGGTATTGAATTTGCACCCACTTGATCATTTTGTATAGGGCACTTTAAAAGAAAACATTATTCACCACAACAGCGGCATCCTGCGATAAGTAGAATAGCAGTGAATAATTTTAATAAGCAGTGTTCAAATTTTTAACAACTTCTGACTTCGGACATTCTTTGTGTAAATTACATTAAGAATTTTGTTTTTGTTACATTGTTATTTAGTTTTTATTTTTTAGGATTACAATAATATAAGAGATGTATCTGTGAAAGTAAGGGCGATATATCTAAAAAATGTCCTAAGCACGTCTTAATTTTTTTTTTTTAAATCTGGCAAAGATGGAATTGCTCTGTTTATATCAGCCATGTGCTTTCTGCTTCCGCTTCCACTAACTAGGTTTTCCATGTAATAAAAAATGTGAAAACTAATAAATTTGACGTGATTAATTGAATTTCATTTCAATATTTGATTCTCATTCAATATTAAACTGGAGCTAAATATAATTTTTTGTCAATAGAAAATTTTTTTTCCCTTATTGTTATTACATATTTCATTAGTTTAAGTGTTACTGTTTTGTTACTCATATTTCATGTCATATTACAGGTATCGAGAATGTTTATTCTCTTTTAACAATACGTAATTTTGCAAACGTGTTGCATACGTTTATTATTTTAATTCATACAATATATTTGTGAACACTTAATATTTAAGGAAACTTAAGGTGAGCAAATCCATGTAATTTCAAAGAAAATAAAAATTCTAGAATGTTCATATTAGGCATTTTAAATATTTATATTGCCAAAAGATTATGATGTACTTCAAAAGATTGTTGAAAATGATGATTGTATGGAATTTCAATTAATCCTCTACAATTAATTTTTCATATCTAAAAAATAAGGAAGATGAATAGAATCTTCACGTAAGTTCAGTCTGTATACATATTTCATTGCAACTAAAACTGTCAGTGTTTGGTAGAGAAGAAAGATATACTTTTAAATGTCTATGTTAGTCTGTTTTTTGTTTGTTGCTGTGTTTGAAAATTACCAGGTTTCATCATATAGTTACTGTTATTCAGTAAACCATAACAGTTTGGCTATTAAATATTTAAAATCTTTTGTCTTTGTAGAAAACGCTTTCGTGGGAATGGCAGCTTTAATTTCTAAAATCTCAAACTGCTAGGATGCAAAAATGACATGCTGCAGGACTGGATCTGCTTCTTCAGCTGCAAGTTTAAATCCTTCGGCAATAAATATTCGTGAATGCAGCCAAGCACTCACCCTCTGGCGGAGGAAAAAACACTTGCAAAACAAGGTATTTATTTTTTTTACGTGTGGGTCCTTTATTGTTGTCGCTAAAAGTATAAAACATTTTATTTTAATTTATATAAAATTGAGTATTGATATTGAATGTTGAAACCGAATGTAAATACGAATGCCAAGATCAGAATTAAATTAAAATTATCTTGTCTCGCAGGTTACCGCTTTCACTACTTGGTGTCCTTGCACATCTTAAAATTTATCGCCAATATCTGTATCAGGAATTGTGTATTTGCCCACTATGAAGAGAGTACATATGAGGCATTTGCCAAACGGTTCTCCAAAAAAAGCTGTTATAACTTAGGTTCTTCCATAGGTCATTTAGTGAAAAATTTTAATGAATCAAGGATCTAAAGCCTGATTTTTGGGATACTATACACTAAAATATTACGATTTAACTAAACTTACCTTAGTCTAAAAGTTGGTACTTAAAAAGATATACAGGGTGTCAAAATAAAAATTTATTTCATATAATCTTTTTAAAGTTACATATATTGCATAAATTTTGGGGATCGGAGATTCTTTATGGCGACAAATCCAAATCCGACTATAATTTTGCTGTTACTTATTAGAGGGCACCCCTTGCAGTATTTTGCATGTCTTTAAAATATCATAATTTTTGGCTCCTAAGTAGATCTGCCTCTATTTTTCATTTTCCAATTTTTTTTTATGTAAAAAAGGTATACCATGCAATTATCGTTATATTAATGGTTTGTCCAATTTAAATTAAATTTAGAATTCCAATACCTGAGTATAGATGTCACTTTTTGACATAGCAACCGCACTTACTGGATTTATATAAATGGGAAAGATACCCGTTGTACCACTGAACAAAATAAGTTACTCTACAACTCCGTTTTTTATCGCAGAGACAAGGGCTTCCTACAAGTTTTTTCTTTCATAATTTTTTTGTATTTCGAACAATTTTTATGTAATGAATTGTTTTATTAATTATCTTCAACGCATTTTCAGTGCAGATCTGATTTAATTATCAAGGAAAGATTGATAACACCTAATGGTTTTGTCAATATCAGAAACTTCAGAATTTCAAATGTTCTTTCACGAAAATTATTATTGCGATAACAATTTTTTAGTAACACATAGGTAGCTGAGAATAAAATATCCCAGTCATCTGAGTCATCTCTGATTTCTTACATTCTCTAAAGTGTGATCTATCAAATTTGAATCTTTTGTTATTATTCTTATACATATAAGAAGCATTAATTTGATAAATTTGATAAGAAATTACTCTTCATAATTTACAGAATATTCCCAATTTGAAAGGAGTGCGATTATTTTTTGTTATTGCTAAATTGTATTACTAATTACACCAAAATCGTTAGAAATACTTGAAAAGAAGTAACATGAAAAAAGGACTTATCTTTATTATAAACTAAGAAATGAAACTGTAAGGTTACCCACAAAAACTTAATTCGGTTATACAGCCTGAAAGTGACAGATAAATTTTAAAACACCAAATTTGATTTAGGTAATTGGATAAAATCTTATTAGAGAAAATAAAAAAATCCAACTTTGCTACCTTCTAGTGATCGAATAGGGTACTTGGAGTTTACTTAAATGATCTTTTGACCTTGAAAATCTGTGATAATTTCATGTATATAAAATACCTGTACCAATACTGGGATGTCCTAGAGATAGTGTATTTACTTTCCAAAATTTTAAGGTAGGAACCACGAAGACTGACAGCTGTAGACATAGGTATATAAAAATCTATCTATTTATTTTTCTCTTAGATACTTTTTGAGGTTAGAAATGTATTCAAAGTTAGGGGTACGATTTTGAGCAGTAGTAGTAGTAGTGTTCTGGAAGCGAACGACCTTGTATATTTGGTGACTGTTGTCCTGTGATCGGCCTTGGAACACTAATATTGCTGCACATGCTTGTCGACTGATTTGGTGGCCTTGCAGCAGCTCTGTACGTTTTAGGCATGCCAGGGTAAACAGTGGCTCCTCCTTGGCCAGACGGTCTAACAGGAGTTTGAGCTGGCCACCTTGGACTGGTTCTGATTTGAGTTTTCTGTGCCTGTCCACAGAAACACTGAGTTGGCAGGATAGTTGGGATAGTTGGTACGAAATATCCTCGTGAAGCTCCTGGCTGGATAAATTTACCCATTTGGTGCATACGCATATTAGCCATTGTCTGCATATACTGCAACGTTAAATGGGCCTTACGATCCTGCTTACGTTGAGCTAATGCTACATACAGTGGTTTCGAGCCAACAACACGTCCATTCATTGCTGTCATAGCTTTGGTTGCCTCCTCAGGGGAAGAAAAGCACACAAATCCAAATCCTTTGCTTCTACCTTCTTCCATCATTACTTTAGCAGAGGTTATTGTGCCGAATGGTGAAAATTCTTTGCGAAGACGTTCATCATCAATTGTATCATCCAACTTTTTGACATACAAATTTATGTCTTGATAACGATTAGGCCTTTCCATTTTTAATGCTTCAAAACGGAGTTTCAATTCTTGTTGACGTTCCATTTTCTGCTGGGCCCGTCCAACATACAGCGGTTTACCTTCTACGATTTCTTTTCCTGGAAAAAAAAAATCCAATTGTTCACCAATTTTTTTTTTTATATATATATACATACTTTCAATGTTACCCACAAATTACTATGTAATGTAAATCTAAAATGTATTAGATTTTAATTTATTTTATTTATTATCTAGGTACCTAATCTAATGGATTTATTTTGTATTTTGTTGTTATTTTTTTGTTGCTGTTATAGTTTTCTCCTTATTTATCTTGAATGTGTGTATGTCATCAAATGTTTTTAAAATTCCATTTATAAATGAATTGCATGAAATACATATGTGGGGCTATACCTGTGTTGAATCGTGATTAACTCGTGAACATACATAACAATACTGATAGTGATAATCTTATAGGTCTCTAAAAATGTTCAAAACATAAATATGCATTGTTCCGGCTCTGCATCTAGGTCAGTGTTATCAAAAGCATGATAATAGTAGATAAAGCCCAACACGTTTAGTATACAACAAATGGTGTTACAATGCTCAACTAATAGTTAGGTAAGTATATCTAAATCCTGGATATGTACGGTATCATAAATAAGTCTTATAAAAGTATATGCGACACATTTCCACAAAACTGTTATTGATTATAAAAACGGAATATTTCTAGGTAGGATTTATCCGAACATTTGGAGGTTTTTATCTAGAATTTAGGTATTATTTTGAAATTATTTTCTTGCAAATTTTTATAGTATTTTTTAGCCAAAATTTTTCAATAGAATTTAATTTAGAAACGCCGAGGGATAACCTTAGTCAACTAGTTCTGATTTCAGATTATAATTTTTATGAAACTTATATGGGTGATTATAAAGTAAATGTATTTTCGGTGTCCCCAAAGAAAAATTAATCAATTTAATATAGTATTAATTATTTCACAAGTTGGCAATATTTATGTATCTGTAATGATAAGGACCAGAAGATATTTCTATTTTTTAAGATTTATATAGGGTTACCAGATGTGAAACATGTAAAGTATGACAATTGTAACAAAAAAGGATGACTTTCAATGAAAAAGGAGGACATTTTTTGAACATTTTATTTTACTTTATTAGGAAAATAAAAGATACTTGTAAACACAAGTGAACTTAAAAAACATTGCATTTTGCATATATTGCGTTAACAAATGGAACAAAAACTTCATAAAATATGTTGCAGGCATCCTTACATTCACTTCGTAGCCGCCGAATGTTATTGTTGAGTATCCAAGGATAATAGTATTTTTAAGATTGTGATTTTGATTGAAAACCATGGTATAACTATAAATTATATCATGATTGAAAACTAATATCATGTTAATCTTGATTAAAATATTAAAAATTTTCAAATAAGTGTCAGGTGCAGCAATTTTTATTGATACTATTTTTAAAAAGCCGGACAGAGGGGAAATCCGGCCGGACAATTAAATTTTCTTTAAAAAGGAGGACATGTCCGGCTTTATCCGGACGAATGGTAACCCTAAATTTATAGGCACCAGGGGAAAATGTATGGTCAGGGGAGTGACACTATGCACAGAGCAGTGACAAATTTCCAGTCTCTCTTCTCTCGTTTTTTTTTTTGACGTTCATCACGATATTTGGCTGATGTTTATCATAAGCAACTAACTAAAAGATGTAAAATAAAGTGTTAAAATATTAACTATCAAGTTACATTTTTTGTTATTCCCCTAGATTATATGTGTTTCCTCTGACGTACAAACTGCCAGAGGAGTGACGCCAGAGAAGTGACAAAATCGCACATATCCTCGAATTACAATTAAGTAAACATGTACTTGTTACTACAATTAAAAGTTATTCATGATTCATAATACTGTTTTTAATCAATGCAAAATTATGTAATGATAATATATAAAAATATATGCATACCAGGGGAAATACTTCAGCTACTGGCACAAGCAAGCTCTAACACAGTGTAACAGACACTGACGCGATTGTAGTTTGAATAGGCCCAACGGAGTTAGCTTGTTGGTAAATTCATTCTATTCAATACGTATCGCTTAGTCAAAGATCTGTGTTTGTAATTGTAACCCGATATTTTGATCATGTGATTTCGCCAGGCGAGGGTGCCACTTTTTTCTGGTGGCGTCAAAATATATCATTATTATTATGTTCATAATTATTTTTACATCTTAATTTGCGAAAATGTGTTTTGACGTTTATTTAGTTACATGATTATAATTGAAATAATATTAATATTGTCAGTCAAATAAAAAAAATTATGTTTAAAATTCTAGTAAAAGTTGGTAATGGGACAAACCAGGGGAGTATTTTTCACTATTTTATCATATAAATGCCTAAAGTGAAATAGTTATCGTAATTTGAATATGTGGTCTGAATAAGAGATACCTAATATTATTTATCACTTCATTGATACAGACAATAAATTAATTAACTTGTATAAGATTTATTAATGGGCCGTCGCAATCTAAATACTGCGTAGATTCACCCATATTAGTTTTATTCTAAATTGTAAAATTTAAGTAGATAGTCCTATCAAAAGGTTCTGTGTACCAAATGGTATAATTAGCTGATTTAAAGGAATTATCAAGAAAAGTTTCTACGATTTTTTCTCAAAATAAATTCATTACTCAAAATTCGAAAGACTGTTTTATACGTAAATAAAATTTTATAATCAGTTCATTAACCGCCTTTGTCATCGTTATTTAGGTATTCATATCGACTGAAAAAGCTGTTAAAAAATTCTTATGTTGAAAATAATTGAATATGCGCTTGTTGTATGACATCAAAAAAAAATAGTTTAAATACTAATTCTGAAATAAAATGTATAGGTTGGTGTCAAAGAACGAAGCCGTAGAAGGGCCATGTCTAAAATTTTTTTTAAATTCAAACTAAACCGAATTCAGATTTTAATCACTTAATTATAACTCGTTCCAATGCAAGAATGTTCCATTAGTTTCAAGTGTAAGTTCAGCTGTTTAGTTTGACTACAACCAAAATTTCTCTAAAATTCTTCAAATAAGGGATCCTGCAAGGTGCTGAATTTAGAAAATATTAACAATTTTCATCCAAAAACTAAACTCCCTCAAGGGATAAATTATGAGTAGAAAAAAATCTGTCTCCTTTGTATTCTTTTGTGAAGATCTTAGGGTGTAATTGCAGCTGTATTTGCTATCAGAAACAATCTTACGCTCCTTTCCATATTTAGAAAATTTATTGCTTACAAACAGAAATGTAACAAATATTTTTTATTAATAATAAATGTATTTTATATTATTTATTAGTCAGATTTTTTTTAATGTGTTCCAGAAGTCAGATCGGATATACAGGCAATGGCCATACCACGATGTCCGATCACTGAAGTCAAGCATCGTTAGTACTTGGATGGGTGACCGCTTGGGAACACCGCGTGTCGTTGTCCAACTTTTTTATTTTCTTGCTGTAAAAAATTATATGTAGAAATTATTGAAAGCTTTTGTGTTATATTTCTTACATTTTTGAAATATGATCGCATTGTATTGATAATAATGGTAGATGCTCTGTAAAAATTATAGAAATTATTGAAAGCATTTGTGTTATATTTCTTACATTTTTCAAATATGATCGTTTTGTATCGATAATAATTGTACGTACGACTCCAATCTTTAAAATGTCGATAAAAATTGGGAAAATTTTCATTAATCGTCTTGTAAAATTTAGATATGTTAGGAATTACGAGAAAAGCTGCAAAATCAGGGTGTTCAAAAATTCCGTTTTAATACTTTGAAAAGCGGTACATTTTAAATATTTTTAGATACTACACTTACAGACAAATTATTGACAAATCAATCCAAAATACAGTTTCATTTACGAATATTACGGTTTTATTAGGGCTGTTTCTAGATAATTTAAATTTTCCTAAACAATTTTTGTTTACAAAGAAAATACGTCGTAAATAATACTACCATTAGAATTATGCAAATATGTAAGTACCATCCCCATCTAATGGTCAACAGTAAGTAATTTTATGTGGCAGCAATAGGATAAGGAGATTAAAATCTTATGTAAACAGTTTTCGATAAACAAATCATAACGGTTGATTTATTATTGCTCATCTAAGTAAACTAAAACTTGGAAAACATGCTAAACAGAGCACTGTCTACTTCTGATAAGAATTGAGAAATAACTGCATTTAATGGGTGTGTTATTTGTACGATATATTTATTATTTGCATTGTGTGCATAAAACGCTTTATGGGATCTTATTGCAAATTTTGCAATATATTTTACCTACCTACGTAGAGAAACATTTAATTTTATTTTCTAGAATCTAATTTTCTTTCTAATTCTCTGCAACTATTTTAACAGGTCGAGTGTCACAGTAAATTTGTATCGTCTTGTCAAAATTAAAAAATTTGAAAAATATAATAAAAAATCTGTAAATTTATCATATTATTAGTAAGTCACTTAAATCATTTTTTTGCTGGTAGACATCGGTGTCTCCACGACACGGCTCTGGGTTTCATTATCAGAAACCATCAGAAGACACACTGTTTATGCGTATTAGCGGTATTTACACATTATTTCAGCTTTAGGTGTTTTTTATTATAATTGTGAACATAGCAATAAAATTACTAAAGTATATTATGACAATTGCATAAAAAAGCCACATATGTGTAACTCGGTTATTTCAGGTGATACAGAGTTGGTAAAATTAAAGTCGCAGAATTTGCTGAAAATAAACTAGATCTATCTTTTTTTATTTTGTTATCGAGGAAAAACCGATTATAATTATTTCTTAATTGAGGTCCACAAAGAAGTGGACATTTAAATTCAGACCTTATTAGGAAACTTTTTGTAGAGAATTTAAATAAGTCGTATCAATTTGTCTACTTTTACCACGGTCCGATTAAGAAATAGTGGTATTTTGTCCAAAAATTCCTGAGGACATTTTTCCATATTTTTTTTAACGTGTTTCGTTAGCAGGAACAGTTCAGGAATTATTTTTTATTTGCATTACTATACAAAGATTGTACTAAGAGTGTGCATATTTTTCTAAGTGTATGT